GTTGGGGTGGGGTTAAGTGCTCATCTTGGGGCTTAACTTTCACCCCAGTCCACTTAGCCGTTTGGTTAAGTGTTTGCCTCCCAAGAGGGAGGTCGTGCGTTCGATTCTCGTGAACGTCGTGAGATGCTTTCAGGATCGACTCGTGAGATGCTTTCCCTGCACATGGTAGTGGACTTTTTCAAAATCAATAAAGACAACCGTTGCGTTACATTTATCTTGTCTGGTGAGCCTCAAGACCTCGTTTACTAGTAAGATATTACCATGGATCCTCCGCCCGTGCATGAACCCGGTTTGCGCAGGATGAATCAACTCATCCAGAACTGGGATCAAACGGTTGGCCAACGCCTTTTCGAGCATTTTGTATACCACTGTCAACAAAGTTATGGGACGATAATTCCTGATATCCATCTTATCCCCTTTCTTGTGTAATAAAGTGAGGACCCCTTGGCCCACCAATTCCCCCATATTGCCTGTCTCCCACACATGGTGACAGTACTCCATGAGATCTGGGGCCATCTGGTCCCAAAGTGTTTCCCAAAACTCCTTGGGGAAACCATCAAAGCCGGCTTTTTTTTCCTCGTTCATTTGACTCAATGTTGTTCGGACTTCCTCCTGTGAGAGCTTTTGATCTAATTGTTCTTTCTGGCCATCCGACAAGTGTTTGGTCAGTGGTTTCAAGAAATCCACGATCTCCTCCTCCCTAATGATCATCGCTCGTTGAGAACATCTCGAGGTAAAGAGGTCCTTAAAGAAGGACCTCGCCACCTGCACACATTGGGGGGTGGAGGTCACCACGTTATCACCTCCTTGCTGAGGGTCATACAGAGCTTCAATGGTCGTTCTATTTGCGCGGATTCGGGCAAGTGTGCCCCTAATATGTGCTCCTTCCCATCGCTCGGTGGCAAACAATTCCAATTGTTGACGTAAAAATGATATGTCTAATTGAGTTTGGGATTGCATGTGTGAATTCTCCAACTGTTCATGCTGTTCAAGTTGTTCAAGTTGCTGTAGTTGTTGAAGAAACCCAATTTCATGTTCATGTCTATGGGAGGCCAATTGCAATGAATATTCCTTACATTTTTTGGTGAGAAAGAACAAACCGTTATTAAACCACTCGATTTTGTTCTGAACAGAGTGCTTATGCGTGTGCCAGAAGGTCCAACAATCCTTCAAGTATTTTAGAAACGACTTCTGTTGGAGAAGGGAAACATTTAACTTATAAAAGCCCGGTCCCCGGTCCGGTTTCTTACGAAACGATAAGATAATCGAGCACAGCTTATGGTCCAGTCCTGGGTATGGACTTTGTGGCAAAATAGCCGCTAGAAGCAGCGCCCCTTGCAAGTCCTCAGAAATGAGGATGAGATCGATCCTGGATCTTGTACAACCCTTTGTCCCCGTTTTCCGTAGACAGGAGTAAAATCGACTGTCCGGGTGAAGGTTTCGGAATGTATCAAAAATCTTGAAGGATAAACACAATTCCTTGATAATCCGTTCATCTTCCTCTATATAGGATGGGGCGGGGGATGGAGTTTTCCACCTATCCATCCATCGGTCTGGGGCGGCATTAAAGTCACCTGCTATAATGACCGGTATTCCGGCCGGAATCTGAGCTTTAAGATTTTCAAAAAAAGTTGTCCTCTCCCCCACCCCATTAGGGGCGTACACACAGACAACACAGAACACTTCTAATTCGAGCATTGCCAAGACTGACACCCATCTACCTTTCGCCTGGTCAACCACCCAGTGGATCGGTTCCGCGCGGGACCCGGGGGGGATCCAAATGGCGACCCCCGCACTCCCCGGTTTCGGGGCGTGTGCTCTGAAGGTTCTGTGCGGCCAGACCAATTTGTGGACCCGATTATGTTCTGGTGAATCTGTAAGGTGTGTTTTCTGAACACAAATTATGTCTGGCCAAGTCCTGCCTCCCACCCCTCTAATGAGGTCCCAAATTGCCGCTTCTCCGGTTTAATTGTGGCCAACCCATTGACATTGAGGGAGCACAAGTCTAGGTCCGCTGCTCTCTGACACTGGTTCCAAATCTTATCTTTGCCGTACACCGCCTTGACTGGGTCCATCATTTCCCCACAAGGTTTTAATCCATTTTATCTCAATCAGTTGGCCTCCCATAACTTCTCCCACCTCGGTTGTTCCTCCTCCTTACCCTTTGTATCTGTCAGCAAACCTTTTCTCAGCATGGCACATAGGCCCTTTTGCACATCCACTTCTGTCCATATCTCATTAGATTTAATCCTGACTAACTGAAGGTCCAGCAACTGGCTGCGGGAGAACCATTGCATGCCCGCTTCTTTGGTCTGGTCGAAGCGGATAAACACGTCCATCCGCGAGATCCTAGTGGATTCTGACTCGACCATCCACATGGCCTGTGCCCCGCCTCAAAGTATTCACCAATATATGATGACAGGTTCAGTTTCAACAGTTGTAAAGCCACTTCCGAATGTCGATTACACGGGTCGGCCCAGAAGGAGGACCACCCCTGCAGAGTGACCCCCCCTTGTTTACCTCCTTCCACGGGGGATAGTCCTACCTCCCACCTCCATTCCTTTCTACGCATCGGTATAATCATCAATGCATCTCGTGATAAAGGCCCCATGCCCTGACCTTCTTCCATTAAATGCCTGAGTCTCCTCTTCTGCATCTGCTCTATTGATATGTCTTCGTCGATATCGGGCGGGACCGGGTCCGGGGGGGGGAACGGGGGACCCCCCGATGGCGTGGCCTCCACATCCCCAGGTGGTACAGTCTCTGGTACCATGGTCACCGGCGGGCGAAACCGGGTAAACACAATAGAGGCTAATCTATGCCATGCCTCCCCCCATGTCACACCCGGCTGCATCCCGTGTTCCAATACCCTTTGGAGGGAAGTGCTGGTGTCCAGCATCGGGAAGAGCTCAAGATATGTCTTGTCCCAGAAACCATCGGAAACCGGGCTATATTTGGCTTTCAGGTTGGCCATCAGCCAGTCAGCTACCGCAACTCGTTTTTGTTCCATGGGTATGTGCAGCGGTGCGGCCTCCTCCTTTCCATCTGTTCCGAACTGCAGGCCCTCCGGAGTCATGTACTCGGTATCCGGAAGTGGGTCAATGTCCATCGGCACCGGGCCAAATGCTTCACCAAATGGGTCCTCGTCTACGTCGCGAACAGTCTGTTCCGCCGGGGGCTGTTGCCCACTTGGTTCCGTCCCCTCCAGGGTCTCCGGAACCTGTTCTGCAAGCGAACAGTCGTTGCCACTGTCCTCCACCGCCTCGGGGCCTATAGGCTTTTGCATTTCAATTCCCGTCCGGGGCACAGTCTCCTCCTCTGGCCCCCCATACATCACTACTATTTGCATGTCGTCTAGGGGCCCTGACTCACCCAGAGGGTCTTTTGGGACCCAAGCATGTTGTTTCCCTTTCTTCCCAACTGTTTCCTCGAGGGCCTCCGGAGCCTGTGCTACAAGCGAGCGGTCCCTGCCACAATCTTCCACCTCCCGAGCGTATCCCTCTCTCTCGGGGCCTAAATTGTTTTGCATTCCAATACCCTTCGGGGCCACAGTCGCCTCCCCTGCCCCCCCATCCATCTCTACCATCTCCGCGTCGGGGGCCCCGACTCCCCCAGGGGATCTTTTGGGACCCAGACATGTTTCCCCCCTTTCTTCCCAACTGTTTTCCAACTTGTATCCTCTTCAGAGACCCTCAGCGAGGGACCCTCCTTATGTAGTTTATCTTCCACCGGTGCTGGGGGGATCCATGTGTCTGGGGGGCGAGTTTCCAAAACCGGTTCTCCCATTCTTTCCCACACCCAACCAATCGGGATACCATCCTTCGAGTGCTCTTCAACGTAAACCCATCCTTCACGACCCGGGTCTACCGTCCTCCAGCGTGTAGCCTTAATGGGATCCCTCAACAGTCTTCCGGTTGGCCCGACTCTCCTCTGGGGGTGCAGGGGACAAGAGTATTCGGTGCACAGATGACCGTAAGCACGACATTTATAGCACCATGGCCTCATCTTGTGCGCTGTGTGGGATCAAGTATTCCCGTCCTCCCACCCTATACGGGATCACATCATCTAACGAAAAGGGTTGGCCTTGGGGAAAGTCCAGGGCCAACATAAGGTAATCATCCCGCTTGGCGACGTAAGATGGGAGATCATTTCGAGGTCATGAGGTAAGTATCAGATTAATAGTAGTTGGAAGATACACAATTTGCTGCAAAGATTCGGGCTTTGATCGCAAAAAGATGCTATTGGCAAAAAATGAAAGTTCTGTGAAGTTGCATTGCATGTGGCCGTGCTCAGGCCCGATCTGCCCTAATAAGGCTTGGTGCCTGGCTGGCGCTTCTATCCGTTGGAGAGAGAGGTCGTTAGATCTAGATTTAGGTTAGTCCTAACCCTAATCTGCTCTAATTAAACCACCAGTACCTCGCCCAGCTATAAAAAAAGTCGTGGCCGTTAATGCGCCACAACTTTAGGGGGTTCGGGAGAGGCTTGGCATGGCAATGGGGCAGGAAGCTGGTGGCCCCATGGGAACCTCCCACAAGGACTGCAAGATGTCCTCGTGGTGTGCAATGTGGAAACGTGCGGGCAGTGGTAGGATGGAGGGAAAAGAAGACAAAAACGAAAACGGACGAGGAAAAAAATAAAGAGAGATCATTGCTTTTCTTTCTCTGTTTTCTTTTTTTTTTGGAATAATGTATTTGGCTTCACTTCTGCACCGTGTCATATGAATCTGAGGGCAATCACGTTCAGATGCTGGTTTCTCGTTTCCCCCTTTTTTTTTTGGGGGGGGCGGGGGGGGGAAGAAGATTGTTGGCTGTTTGTGCATTTGCTCCCCGTGACAGACGGGGAGCATTCATTGCCTCAGCTCCCAGAGAGACTGTAACGTTGCAAATTCGAATCATGTATCTGACTTCACTTCTTCACGAGGTGGGATGAATCTTAGGGCAATCACGTTCAGATGCAGGTTTCTCGTTTCCCCCTCTTTTTTTTTTCTTTTTTCTTGGGAGCCTCAGCTCCTAGAGAGACTAACGTTGCAAATTCGAATCATGTATCTGGCTTCACTTCTGCACAAAGTGGGATGGGCAATCACGTTCAGATGTAGGTTTCTCGTTTCCCCCTTTTTTTTTTTTTTCTTTTTTTTTTGGGAAGAACTCCGAAGAAGATGGTTGGCTGTTTGTGCACTTGCTCCCCGTGACAGACGGGGAGCATTCATTGCCTCAGCTCCCAGAGAGACTGTAACGTTGCAAATTCGAATCATGTATCTGGCTTCACTTCTGCACGAAGTGGGATGAATCTTAGGGCAATCACGCTCAGATGCTGGTTTCCCGTTTCCCCCTTTTCCCCCCTTTTTCTTTTCTTTTTTGGAAGAAGATCCTTCACGGGAGCATTCAGTGCGTGAATGGAAACAAGAAAACGACGGCCTGTTTGCGTTTCATCTGCTGGCAGCAGGTCCAGCATAAGGGGCGATACTTGCTTGCAGCAGCAGATGTCCCGTATTTTTTCCCACGCCCCGCAGGCTCGGCAAAAATCGGCGCGCAGATGAAAATGAGGATCGGTCCTGAACAACCGATAGGTAATGGTGGTTTAAGGTTAATCGCGTTTTCGCGAATAAACCTGAATACGCAAATTCGGAGATGGGAGGAACCTAAAAATAGGTCGAAAACTGATTTGATCAGCAATGAAAAGAAGAAAACTTAAAAAAATTTCCAACTTGCGAATAATGATAACAGAGTACAGGTGAAAACAATCAATCAATCAATCAATTGGTTGATCAAGCGCTAGTTGAGCAACTTGATTCATCAATCGATCGATTGATGACGAGTCATCCAATGCTGGTCTGCTTCGATACCAAACTGTTGCATACTCGTGAACACAGACATAAGTATGGCGTAGATCCCCAGAACCGACCAGATAATACAAAGCAAATACAATTACAGCGGAAAACTTGATACACATGGATTGACTCAGACCTGACTCAGACTGCAACAAATCCCGCACGAACATGCATCGCCGGTGTGAAAGCCCTGGCCTTGGACATGGAAGAAAGGGCCAGGGTCTGATCTCATACACAGATGAATGGAGGGGAGGAGAGGGAAGATGACGTCAACTCAATGTGTCCAAAAATAGTATCTCGAAATGTCATAAGTAGTGAAAATCCGAAATGTCGCGAATATAGAGTCTCACAGTGTCCCAAATATCGATCTCCCAATGCCAAGATACATCTCTAGAGGTAGATGAAGTCACATCCCCAAAGTAGTCCTCAACCGAAAGTCTCAATGTTGTTATCTCCTACATCATCAAAACTCGTAACCATCCTTCATACTTGTAGTAGTACAGTAGGAGTAACCCAAGAAGTAGACTTGGACTTAGAGGGCAGGAGGAGAAAGAAGGTCGAGGAGGAGCAGAGAAGAACAGGAAGAGGGAAGAAAGGCGAAGCCTTTCTTCCTGATACCTGGGTGGCCGCGCCGTCTCTGTCGAAGTCCGCCGAGGCCGAGCTTGGCAATGTAGGTATGGCGTTGCAGTGCTGGGCGCTGGGCTGCGTGCTGAGCTAGAGAACTGGCGCTAATCGCTTCTGCGCTAATCTCCTTGCTGCTTCGCTATTCTAACGCCGAGACGCTGTCCTAGTCTAACCTTCCTACTGAGGCTGGTACCCGACTGATATCGCGCGGGGCCAGCCTCAATGCTGTTGGTACCTTCGGGTCTGGACCGTTGATCAGATCAACGGTTCAGATCTGATGCCGAAATCTGAAAGTGGCGCCTAAACTGCTCCGCCGGTAGGTCCTGGTTTTGGACCCATACTTGCAAGCAGACGGACCGGACGAGCGTCCGGTTTGGTCCTCTTTGCCGTGTGCGGCACCCTCCCCCCGGGCCGAACGGACCCGGACCGGACCGGACGGGGGCGTTTTTCTTTTTTTTTGGGGGGGGTGGGGCATAACTAGTCGTCGGGCGCACATTCGTGTGCCGCGCGGGTCCGGTCCGGCGGTCTGCCGCACGTGCGGAACCGCCCGGATGGCGTCCGCTTGCAAGTATGGTTGGACCGGTACCGGTCTGGCCCTTGTGACTGTTGGCCTACTGGGCCTTTGGGCCGACCTACCGGTCTGAACCGACGTGGCCCTTGACCCTAGGCCTAACTACGGAACCGGGCCCTAACTGGGGCCCGTGTGGTGTTTGAATGCCACAGGCGGGGGGGGGGGGG